TTTTTAGTTTTTTAATTCGGCATTGTAAGGATACCGGGTTTCGTCTGGGGGGGGGCAATTGCCCCCATTGCCCCCCCTGCGTACGCGCCTGATATTAAGTAATATTAAGATCATTTTAAATGTTACTTACCTAAAGAAGAAATTTTTTTATTTATTACTGGCAAATTTGTCATTAGTAATGACTCATTACCCACTTTGTTTCGTGAAGTCGAAGTTTAAATTTCATATTACATATGCAGGGGTAAGAAGCAAAAGGGTACAAGTGCAAAAAAGTGGATTTATTCACTTTTAAAGTTTTTGCCATATACAAAAATTTTTGTCTGCATTAATCATTATGCAGAACTCGTACAATTTTCACGTTATAACGTATATACAGGGTGTCCCAGAACTCGCGCCACAGAGAAAAAGGGGGCGTGCCGACAGAAATTGAGATGCCAAATTTAAAAATAAAAAATTTCTAGGTAATAGTGTAAGCGAATTAAAGCAAAAAAGTGGCAGCCAATACCGAGAGCTCTTGCCTAGATTAAACGTAGGGGATTTAAAAATTGCTAGGAGACGATAGAACATTGTTGTCTTAAAACTTTTAAAAATCTTTTGGCCGACTGTATTTACTAAGTTGTCAAAAGCTGTCAAAAATGACTGATACCTCAGAACGACAATGTTTTAAAGTAAAAAATCAAACAAGTTGTAATTTTTTAGGCTTTTTTAGTTAAAATTTTAGAAAAAGTCATAAGTTACAGAAACAAAATTTAATAACAAACTTTTAAAAAATTACAAAAACTATAAATTTCCGTAAAAGTAAACAAACAACATTAAGTAAAACTAAATTAAATATTATGAAAATGTGTTAACAACTAAATAAAAAAAATATGCTAATTTGTTTACAATAAGTGTTCAAAGTGTGCACCATTCATTTGTAAACAAATCGGCGCTCTTCTTAAAAGGCTGGATTTTGACTCCATGACCATTTCAGGAGTAACCGTCGCAAAAGCGTCTTGGATGCGGTTCCTAAGCTGATCCTCTGTTTCGATGGGTACACTATAAATAAAGTTTTTAAGGTGTCCCCAAAGAAAAAAATCCAAGGGATTTAAATCGGGTGAATGAGCAGGCCAATTTTGTGGACCACCTCGTCCTATCCATCGGCCAGGATACTGCCCGTCCAAGATTCGCCGAACGTCGCGACTAAAATGTGGTGGTGCCCCATCGTGCTGCAACCATTCATTTACTCGATATACCAGTGGCACGTCGCCTAACAAATTCTCTAAATTGTTTTCTAAGAAGTCTGCATAAATTTGGCCTGTTAACCGTGCAGGAAATTCAAAAGGTCCAACCTAGAGGAAAATGGCCAAATTAGAATAAAAAAGAAAACCTAAATAGTTTACATACAACGCGATCTCCTATTATAGCACTCCAAAAATTAATAGAAAATCGATGTTGGAACCCCCCTTGGAATATAGCATGCGGATTTTCATTTGCCCATACATGTAAATTATGAGCATTGAAGCATCCTTGTCTGGCAAAAATTGACTCATCCGAAAACATAAAGTTAGAAACAAAATTTGGCTGGAGATTTTCTTGCTCCAGCAACCACAGGCAGAATTCGACTCTAGCGGGATAATCTTCCGGCTGAAGGTGCTGCACTCGGGTAAAATTAAAAGGGTGTTGCCGATCGTTCTTCATAACCCGCAGAACTGTGGAGCGGGAAATATCCAGTTCTCGAGCAACTTCCCTTATGCTCTTCCTACTATTTTCCTCAAACGCATTCAAAACAGCTTCTTCATTTTCCACTGTTCTAATACGTTTGGGAGCACCTCCAATCCCCTTACGAAGCGGAACAACTTGACCGGTCTCTCGGGTTCTTGTGATAGTTCTAAGGATTACTTTACTGTCCAGGGGACGATCAGGAAAGCGCTGGGAAAAAACTCTCGCTGTCTCCCTGGCGTTGCGCCCACACTCCCCATAAATAATTATCATTTCATTATAATCATCTAAGGAAAACATTATTTATAATAACTTAATTTATAACTGTGCTATAACCAAATATAATATTAATGACAGAAGTAAAGATTGACAGCAGTGTTACAATGAATTGGATTCCAGTGGACCAAATATTTTACATATTTTTTATTATCAACAATGCAACCTAAGTATCCTAGCAATTTAAAGAATTTCCTGTGGTGATCTATTGGGATTGGCTATCGTTTTTTATTCTTATCTCCCTTATCCTTTCCGTTGGACAATTTGAATTTTTAAATATGTGTTTCAAATTACTTTCGGTACGTTCCCTTTTTCTCTGTGGCGCGAGTTCTGGGACACCCTGTATATGAGAGAATTAAAAAAAAACTCTACAACTACCCAATCCTGCACTTAACTTATTTTCATTCACAAAAAAGAGAATTTACACACAAATATTTTTTGCAGTGTAAATGGGTGATTATACAGAAACTATCATTTTTAATATATTAATTTGAAAATAGTTTTTTTATTTTTTAATTATGCAAATACGACCTTTGGTTTAAAATAAACCCTGCAAAGTGAAAGATCAAACAGTTTAATTGTTTTTTGAGCAGATTTGCGATGTTTTTGTTAAAACTATATCCAGAGGAATGACGAGGCAAGCAGAGGAATTATTATTTTATTCAAAAAGGCAAAGGAATACAATATAGCATAAAAACTAAATAAGTAATTAAAAATAAACTTAACTATAAACTTGTTTAAAAACAAAACAGTATACTGAAAATTAAAAAAAAAATAAAAAACAAAAATATAAACCTTCTTTATTTCGGTATTGGTATTATGTCTTGGTAATTAACGTACGAAACATCCTTTTCATCTGAGATTTCTACCCCAAAATGAGTATCACTGAGATATATTTTTTGCTTTATTAGTCTATTTTTTGAACAATAGTCTTTTTTCCAGGATATAGAATACTATTTGAATCGAATTCCAAAAACTTTTGAATTGCATTTTTTTCTTGTCATTCTCATTTTTTTTTTGTAGTCTGCTTTTGGGTATTTGTCCGGCCACCATTTACAATTTTCCTAATTTGTAAGACGATAATTTGTCTTAATATCCTAGAGGAATGGTGCCAGATGGCGATTTCTTAGTTTATTTCACGTGGGAAGAAAAAAAAACAAACCTAAAATAATAAAAAAAAAAAAATAATGGATGCATCAAAAATATAGGTAAATAAACTTACCAGAGAAATGATCTGTCTGTGTTTGACATTAACAATTTTAAAACAAATTAATCGCTGAATTTAAGCTAAAATAGCTTAACTTTTATGATATTCTTAGTTTCATGATCCAGCTTTTGACTGCAAATAAAATTTTATACTTCGCTTCAAAAAAGTCTTGATAATATACTGAAAATAATTTTAAACCTTAAAAATTATTTTCAGTATTTCAAAACTGTTTTGAAGCGTAAGTATAAAAGCTGGATCATGAAATTAAGAATATCATAAAAGTTAAGCTATTTTAGCTTAAATTCAGCGATTAATTGACCATATGCAAGGAATGCGGTCGATGTTGCCAATGGTAAAACAATAAACTTCCCTATTGGGAACATTCAATTATATTACGTTGGCTAAACTGAAATTTTGAATTTCCCGCACAAACTGACATACATTCTAGTAGTTCCCAGAGATAAAGAAGGTAGTTCCAATGTTGTATAATAAATTAAGGTGCGAATTTCAAATGTGGGAATTATTATTAATTATTATTATTATTAAAAAAAAGATGAAAATTAATTTAGTTTGTGCGGGAAATTCAAATTTTCAATGTAGCCAATGTAATATAATTGAATGTTCCCAATAGGGAATTTTATTTTTTTACCATTGGCAACATCGACCGCATTCCTTGCATATGGTCAATTGCGTGTATTGAATCTTGGTGCGTTATTTATAGAGCTTCGAGTTTCCTGCAATATGTCCCTAAACTTTTTTTTCCTACAGTGAATATTATAATAATATATTACGCAGAATAATGAAAATAGGATTTTAGACACTAACTTTTGAACTGTAGGTGATAAAAAAAAATGTTTAAAACAAATTTTTAGAGCATTAAAAGATCTTCAAAATTGCTAATTAACTTTTTTTCTACGATTAGTACTTTAGCCGCTAAATGTAAAAATATTTTTTTAGAATTTATACGTTTCAACAAAAATAAAAAAGAAAGAGTAGAATCAACAAACTCTGTAAGATTTTTTGTAGATAATTTAATGCTAAAAAAGACCAGTGATTGTTTATCAAAAAAAAAAGTTCTACATAGTATGCAGGAGACATAAATCTTAAAAATTTTAAATTCGGTGATGGACATTTTAAAATTAATATTAAGAGCTCAAATTTTGACAGAATTTTTTTAGCATAAGTCACGAGAATATCACATGAATTTGAAGAAAAAAATATTGCCTTATTTTGAAACACCCTAATAATATTATATATATATATATATATTTTATATTATATGTATATTATACGTACACGTTTATTTTAAACTTAGAAAAATCAAAATATTGCCAAATCGGCGATCTTTTTTTAACCGATGACTTTGAATCTTTCCGGATATTCGGTATACGGCCAAACAGCTATTTGTTTTATCTTAACTTTTCTAGATTTTTATATTGCATATAATCCGGGCTCTATAGTGAGCACTATACCTAGTGATATGTAGGTAACGTTGATTGAGAACTCTTCACTCAATAGTGATAACATATTTTATGGCCAATATATAACTTATTTACTCCTCTACTAAACTAAATTGGCAGTATATTTATCAAGTCTTTTAATTTACTGAAACACAATTTTAATGTACCTACGTAAAAAATCAGTATAAACACTACCTACACACAAAACTAGTAAATTTAAGAAGCCTGTTTAAAGTACCTCTTTGGCTGCATTAATTTATTTAAATAAAATGTACACTATCCATTTTTTAGTGTCAGCTTTTTAAGATTATTTTATGCATATTTCAAAATTTATTTACCTTTATTCTTTTTAACAGTGTATTAAATCATGCTTGGCATCGGAAATCAGAAAACCTGGAAATTGTCCACCAATAAATTCGACGCTTTCCCCATTTGCAGCGGTGTGCCTTAATATTTGTCAAAGGGATTCCCAGTGTCCTGGTTTCTCGAAATGTTGCCATCACACCTGTGGAATCACGTGTCAGCAACCACTAGATCTTCAATACGCAGTAGGTAATATTATTGTTGTTATACTTATAGCTACCCACTAATATAATAATAATAATAATATTAAATTATAAACCCTTTTAATTGGTAACTTTGGAAGAAGAAAGTGTTATTTTTGGAGTTATTTGGAAAACTACTTACATTTTTTTTCTGTTTTACTTTGAAAAAAATTGTAGGTAGATAATTTATTATATATATGAGTTGTATAGATTCAAAACCCGCCAAATCCATTTATTGAAAATAAAGGATAGCTATAGATATGTTTGCAATACATATATATTATGTTGTTATGGAAACATGTCTTCTGTCCTTTATTTTCAATAAATGGATTTGGCGGATTTTGAATCTATACGACTCATATATTTATTATATTTTATAATTTATAATTTATTATATATATAAAGTACCAAGTGACACCAAGTGACACCAAAAACTACATTGACGTTCCCGCACCCAATATTTTTTTCGTTTAATGTGAATTAATGGCACCTTCTATATTTTTTAAGTATATATGCGTTCTGACACTATACAGATATACAGATATATAATACCTTTGTTTGAAAGTTAGTATTTTATGAAAGTAAAACTAAAATATTGCTCGCTTTAGGAAGTCCTTTGTCGAAATAATAAGTCGGATGTTTCGAATAAAATATTTATTGTCATCACATTTATTTTACTTTTCGTTTTAAATATTCTAAATTAAAAACTAACCTTGGAGAATACACAAACAGTCGTAACAATAATTTAAATAGAACTTTACAATAAATTTCGTTTTAGCTAAATTTACAAGAAACGATCCGTTCTCTAACACTTCCAAAAACTTTCTGCCTGTTTTTTGCTTCCCTTTACTCGATTCGTGTACCATCGTTTCTTGAATCATCTGGACGCCAGATTTTTAGGCAAAGTTCGAAAAACCTGTAATTCCTTTACCTAAGTGTCCCTTTTTACCTCTTTTGCAAAACTTTTTGCCTTTAACACGATAATTTAGAAATTTCAAATTTATTCTAAAATAAATTTGTAAAATACATAAAACTACGTTACTTTCCTTGAAAATAAATTTGTAAACCGTGTCAAAGTACGGAACCATTACAATATTTACATAAAGTTCGTTTTTGGGTGTACAAAACAAAAAATCCATTTTTACACATTTCATGTGATTGCTGTTTTTTCACGAATATAAATTGTGACAATAATAATTTTGGCATACCGAGTTTTTTTAATTTAATTTACATTATTATACAGGGCCTGCATATTGAGACATGGGATCCTATTCAAGGGGTAATGTAACATTTTTTTATTAAAGTAGAAAAAAACAATATTGTGATTATAACTAAATAAATTTGATATTGCAATAACAATTTTGTTTGCCCCCTATTATAAAAAATTTCTCATCCTCTTGCCCCTTCAATTATCATTTACTTTTAATATTACTAATATGTCTTTATAAAATTATCAATTTTACCGTTCTGGCAAACCAGCGATGAAATGACATAAAAAATAAAATCATATAATCAATTTCTGAAATTAATGTAAAGCAAATTTTGCGACAGATTAGAAGAGAGAACAGTGGCGTAGCGACAGTACCGCAAACGCCCGCCACCGCGGGGGGCCTTAACCTCGTGGGGTCCCGGCCTATACTTGCCCCAAAACATTAAAAAACCTATTTCCATCGTATTATCTGCAAAACAAAAAACGTGACGCGACGCTTAAAAATTATGTTAACGCTGTAAGATTGCTTAGATTTCTAGTTATTATGTTATAAAAATATGTTATTATTTTTCTATTATTTTAGTAGTAGGTACGATAAAATATATTAAGTGGTGGTTTTTAGGTTGTGAAACAATGTATAATCGTCAAACTAAAAGACCAAGATTTTTTTCCAATATATTTTGATATGATAAATACTAATCTGTTGTTTTATTTAAAAAAAAACAAAAATTAAAATTTTTTATTTTTATTTAAAAAAATATTTTTTTTTTAAATATAATTTTTCTATTATTTAAAACATTCAATATTTGAAAAAAATAATTTATAACAAAATATAAAATTAAATATATGTACATATATGTTAAAATAATAAGAATGGCTGTATAAAAAATTTTAATGACGTGATTTCGTAAAACGGTAAGACACGGATATGTTTTATTAATAAATAAAAATATCATGTCACCTGATGTTTTATTTTTTATTTTCAATACAAAAACTTGTAAAAAATATGTGAAATCAGGGGGCCCAGTAAATATTTTCGCGGCGGGCCCAAAATTTGTCGAAACGCCAGTGAGAGAATAAAGATTTTAAAATCTGTTGCCTTAACAACAAATGTAAAAAATACTTTATTAGTTTCCCGGCAATAATGATAGATTATTTCTAATGTTTTGATTGGCTAAAAAATACATATGTATGTATATATGCTTGTATGTTTATGGATATCCATGACTGAAATTCAAAGATTCTATTGGTTTTTAGAAAATGCTTAAAAATATTCACATAAATACAATAAGTAAAGTCGTCTCGGTGAATGTTTTACATTGCGTCATTAATTTGTGAACACAGACATTACAATTTGCTTGTTTCTTTGTATACGTATGTGGGATGTACGCCGGACTTATGTCAAAAAACAGGTTTTTGACATTTTAAATTAATGACACAATGTAAAGAATTCGCCGTGACGACTATACCTAGGTACTTCTTTTATTAGAATTGATAAAACGTGATAATTTAACGTTTAGTTTGTGTTAAGAACACTTTTCTTTAAAAATTTACCAGCTGAAATTATGCAATAATATTGGTTGTTTTAAAAAATCTAGGTTAGAATAATTTGTTTGGTATTAAAAACAGTGTGGTTTTGTATATACTTAAATTAAAAAATATCTGCCTGCTGTTATAATAAGTATTGATTTTGTTTTTTTAAATATAAACAAGAAAATACTTACCAAAATCTTCTAATGCTTTTTTACTAATTTTTGTCACCTAGTCATAAAACGTGCAAAAGCATCTTTAACCCTAGTTTCTGCAAATAATTGATTGTTTCCCTAATTAATTTAAAAAAGTTTAATTACTACTTACCACCAAAAACTTTGTATTTTTCATCCATTTTTATCTAATTTCACTACTTCACTAGCCGTAAATAATACTAAGATTAAGGAGCCAAATAGATAATACTTAATAGTAAATTAAATTAAGTCTTAAATATCGGGAAACGTCTAGAATTTAGACTCAAGAAATGCATGGTGCCGCTACGTTGTATGTTTTACTCACGTAGTTAGCGCCCTCTGTAGATTATAAGTTTTAACTAAAATTGTACTTTTCTATATAAATAGTCCAAGTAGCAGCATCTGGAAATTTTGTAGGTTTAAATTATGTGTCATAGTATTATACCGTATAATACTATGACACATTACGTTCTGGCACCTAGTTTTGCATCAAAATTGTCAAATATATACTTATTTTATTAGGCTATAGATATAGAGATAGAGATAATTTTAATAATTGACAGGTGTAGATGGGACAAGATAAATATTTTTTTGTCCCGTCCAGACCTTTTAATTATTAAAATTATCTCTACTTTTATTAATTATTTTTTGTGTTTTTTATTTAATTTATTGCCTAATACAAAAAACATGTTTTTATAAAAAGTTGTATATAATTTATTATATAATATTTTGGCATCAAAGTTGCAAAATTGTCAAAAATAAACTGCAGTTTTGTAATTCGTGCGTTTCGCCCGCTGGAAATGGCAGATAAAAAAATAATATTTTTTTTATATTGCCATCTTACTATGGGTCTATTACTATGATTTAATATATTGTGTAACAGTAATACTGTTACAGTATGCGAGCTCAAAATTGGCCATTCTCCACGAGTTGCACATATTTAGTTAATTTAAACACCTTGCATTTTTAAATACGCTGTAAAAAATTAAATAAAACAACACACTTTTGTAAAAATTCGATAGCTATAAAGTGTGACTTGGCCTTCTTAATGGTTGTGTTGACAGATCAATGTTTTAAATTTTAGGTTATCCTTCTAAATTTTTTTTGGTAGGTATGTTTTTTTTGGACGATTTTTTTTAATTTAATTTAAAATATGTGAACTAATAACTACTAAGTATGTATAAATTATGCATCCTTAGTAAGTATTACTTACATAAATAATATGCAGCATAATGAGTATGCAAAAAATTGTTAATTTTGTATTTTATTGTTTACAATCAAGATCAGGCCCGGACTGGGACCATTTGGGGCCATCAGCTAAAACCTGTAAAGGGGCCCTCTACCGGTGGTCTGGGAGGGTATGGAAATTTTTTGAAAATTAGGTGCTTGAAAACGCGTTTTACGCGAAGAATAAATTCAGCTAGGTTTTAATACGAATATTATGATTTTCGACTTTTGTCACAGTATTTTTAGGATACCACAACACTACAAAACACATGCTGTAGAACTGCCAATAATTACAAAGGAGTTCAAAATAAAGTGCAGTATTTTATTCACACCAAAGTATAATGAATTATGTCAAAATTATTTGTGTAATAAAAATAATGTTATACGGATTTTAGGGATTAGAAAAATAATACTAACATTTTTAAAAAAATCCTGTGTATTTAACAGTTTACAATATTGTTATACTAGAATAGAAGGGGCTTAACTTACCTGGGATGATTCGACATTTTACTTCTCTAGCCCTAAAGTAACAGCTTCTTTGTAAGCAATTCACTTGTTAAAGCTACTTCATCTATTATTTTATTTTTGTCCAAATTATAAAATAAGAATAAATTTATATGCAATATACAGGTTGGTAAACAGTCTAGATTGAGTAAGTTCAAACAGGACAGAAAAAGCACATGTCAAACACTGGAAACATTGTCTATTTTCAGAGAAGTAAATATCAGCATTTTTTTCCGATTCTTCGTCATTACATCTGTCTCCGTAGTTCTCAGTGGACTATTGTTGTGCAAACTGTCACAGCTCCATCAACAGCCGACTTTTTTCAATTTTACACAGTTTAGA